CTTGGGCCAGTGAAGCAACGTCCTCCACAACTAGACTGAAGAACAAAATGACAGCAACTTGTCTGTTCCCCTTCCCCCAATTCCCCAGCACTGTTTGTTCCCTTCCCCCCAATACCCCAATAAAAAAAAATCTTTAAAAAAAAAAAAAAAGAAAGTTACTCTGAAACTTATAATTAATACCCCCATACTTACTAATCACAATCTTTATGGCCTAGCATTCTTTCCAGGTCACTGTCATCACTGCTCCTAGGTTGATGAGCATGTTGGAGAGCCACATCATCAGAGGGAAGGCTCCATGCAGACCCCATCATATAGTCTCTGGAGGAATGCCCAGATTTTCCCTTAAGTATTCCAGGCTGGTCTGAGAATGTTAAGGCAGTTTTTGGACGTGTTAACCCTCTGCCTTCTCAGACCATTGGTGCTCTGATAATAAATGCTTATTCTATGACCCAACTCCTGTGTCCATCTATTGGCTGAGTGGCCCAGGCAGCACCACGGACGAGCCCCGGACTTGTTTGGGCTCCCGTTTCTAATTCATTCATCAAACATTTACCGACCATCTAATAATCCCTGTGGTGGATGCTGGAGAACATAGGACCTCCAAGACAGAAATGGCCCCTGTCTTCAGGAAGCTGGGAAGTTGAGTTGGATTATGTATTAGTAAATTGATGGGGTGAATTATACATTAGAGTTATGCAGTAATATGAATTATAGGGCTAGCCGAGTGGTGTGTTGGTTAGGAGCTGGCTAGCTGGCTTGGGACACCAGCTCTGAGCAGCAGGGCCCCAGTTCGGATCCCACATGGGGTCCAGTGACACTGCCCTCTACAGCTAAAATGGTGAACAACAGCTCAACCTGGATCTGTGCTGCTGTGAATCCCTGGCGAAGGCATAGGCTGCAGCCCCTGCTGTAATGGGCTGCCATAGGCTGTCGTGTGTGTTTGGCAGCCAGTATGAGCGGCTGGCAGCCGTTGTGAGCTGCCGAGAGCCACGGTGAGCGGCAGTCCAGGGGCCAGCGACCGATCTGCCTCATTTGGGAAGAGCACAATGATAATACCAACATGGGCCAGTGAAGCCATGTCCTCCACAACTAGAGTGAAGAACAAAGCAACAGCAACTTGTCTGTTCCCCTCCCCAAATTCCCCAATAAAATCATTTAAAAAAAATTATGAATTATAACAAATAAATCTTGGGAGTGTTTTAATAGTGTTTGGGCTCCGGCCACCTCCCTCGTTGGGTTAAAATTCCAGGGTCCTGGCGATCCTGGGGTGCAAGTGGCTGTTCAGGGTCAGGTCTCAGAGTAGGTCTCCACCGCAGTACCTCCATCAGCCTCTAGAGGGCCCGGGTGTCACCCGAGGCTAAGCCCGAAAAGAGGCGGGGCCGGAGCGTGAGCTGGAGCAGGCGCAGAGTGGGACTTGGGCGTTCGCAGCTGCCCATTGGTTTCTCTGTCTGAGGTGGGGCGGGGCCGAGCAGTGAGGATGGCGTGCGCAGGCGCAGACGGGCTTCGCGCGCGTGAGGGACTGGAGACCGGAAGTTGAAGCTCTCTCGGCGGTTAATGAGGTGAGGGGGCGGGGCGGCTGCGCTGGGCTTTGGTTCCGCGCCTGGAGTTAGACTGGGTCAGGGGTAGTTGGGGAGCGAGCTGAGGGGTGGAGGGAGATCCCGAGATGAGGAAATGTATTGGAGGAGGCCGAGGCTGAGCGTTTCTGAGAGAACCTGGGGGCAGAGAGGCCCGAGAAATGGAGGCATGAAAAGAAGCTGCGAGAAACTGAGGGGCCGAGAGACCAGGAGGTTGAGAGAGGAGCAAAGCTGAAAATCTAGAGAGGTTGAGGACAAGAAACTGAGGGTTCCACCGAGAGAGGCTCCTAGAGACTATGTGAGAGCAATGTGATCACACCGGGAACTTGGGAGATGGAGGGAAACGTAGAAAGGTCAGAGTGGAAGCTAGGGAAAAAAAATAGATTGAAGAGGAGGACAATTTAAACGGAGGAACGAGAGACTGAATCATGGGGAGAGACCAATAGATATGGAAAGGCAGAGACAATGAAATAGGGAGAGCCCGACAAAAGCTGACATGGGCGGATTGAGAGAGGGATTGAGGGAAAGAGACTTGGAGAGAAAGCAAGCGATGAGAACTGGAGTGAGATGGATGGGAAGTGGGAGATAACAGGCAGACACATGGAGTAATCCTGAATATTTAAAAATGGAGGGATAAAGCCAGACATTGGAGAATCACATGGAAAAATGGAGAAAGAGGAGTAAAGGAAGACTGAGTCCTGAGATTCGAATCCCTCACCTGCTATTTAAACTACTTTCTTAACCTGTGTGGCTCAGTAAAATAGTAAAATAGTGATAATAGCACCGTCTTAAGGTTGTGAGAAAAGTATATGTGTGTGTAGGTATGTCTATGTGTGCATGTAAACAGATGAGTGATTTAGAATAGTACCCGATACATGAGTAAGCAATAAATGCTAGCTATTGTTAAAGCTTCAAACAATTATGAGACAAAATTTTAGATGGAGAAATGGAGATGAAGAGTCTGTTGGAGAGTGAGTAAAGAGAGACAAAAATGGAGAGGCAGAAAAAAAGATTCAAATGGAAAATGAGAGGCAAATGGAGTACTGAAGAGAAATGGAGAGAGAGCATCAAATGGAGAAAGATAGTTGGGGCTTACAGAAAAAAAATCAGACTGAAAAATAGAAACAGTGGGAGAAAATCAGATAAATGAAGTGAGATGGGACCAGATTAGGAAGGGAAGAGAGATGCAGGTGGTGAGCAAGATGGACTGAAAAGGACATCTAAGACCTGAAGATGGAGAGAGCCAGAGAGGAGAGAAATAGGAAGGCAAAGAAAACGTCTAAAAGCCATGAGCCTAGGAAAAGGAAACCAAGAGATAGAGACACCATGATAGAGAAACTAGTAGATCAGAAAATCTAAAAGGTACCTTAAGAGAGAGGACTCCTTGAAAGTCACGGGGATGCTCAGTTGGGCCCACATGCCTGCATAGGCAGTTTAAAGTCTGAGAAGAATGCTCTCCATTTCCTTCTGGGAACCACTGGTTATCAGAGTAGTCCTTCAAGGCCCTTTCCTCTTACCTCTTTCCTAGAATAGGAATTCCCTCTGAAGCTGCTCTGGCATCACCTGGTCCAGGTGTTTAATAAGAAGGGATGTGCACTCCCCACAGGCTACTGCTTCTCTGCCAGTTCACAAATTTTTCCTCAGTTGAAGCCTGTATCTGGTTCTAATAACTCCCAGGGTTGCCCCAAAGTTCCTCGAGACCTCAGAGATCCAGTCTCTGAACTTCTCCAGGACGGCCCTTGAGAGACTGAAGGCAGAGTAGGTGAAAGCGTTGCTAATACCATTATGAAGGTGAGTTGTGGCCTTTTGGGTGCAATTTCTTTCCAGGTTATATGCCCCTGGTTCTTCTCACTGTTTTCCCTATGTTAGTCATCACTGGGAGAAAGCACTGGTCTTGAATACTAGTTACTATTTAGCTACTCTGAACCAGGCTAGGTGATAAACATTGCCATGCTTTGAGATGGGCATTGTCTGCATTTTATAGATGAAGAAAACAACCCCAAAGAAGTTAATTTGCCAGTGGTCACATATCTAGTGAATGATGAAGCCGAGGTTCAAACCCACATCTGCCTGACGCCAAAGCCTTTACAATGGAAGGCTCTGAACACTTTTAAGATCATAAACCCCTTTAAGAATCTGAGTGATGGACTGCCCTCCAGAAAAACTGCACATACGAGGGTATGCTCTTTATTAGTTAGGACTTATGCAGCTGAGAGAAACCCAACTTTAAGCAAAAAGACGTTTTCTTATGTAGCTGGCAAGTGGAGGGTTGGAGGACACTAAGCCTCAAGCACTAGGTAATATTGCCAAGCTCCCCCTCCCCCATCTTCCACTTCTTGTAGTGACTGAGTGACCATCCTTGTGTATGCCCCACTGTGCCCACTTGCAGGCTTTTTTCTAGGACAAATATCTAAGAAAGATTATCATCTTTAAGAGCTACTACAAACAGCTCTGGGTTTATATCATCCTTGCCTAGCCAAAGTACTGGGTTGTCGGAAAAGTCATGACGCATTTTTGCAACAAAAATCATAGAAAAATACGTCATGACTTTTCCAATAACCCAATAGATAAAATAAGAGCTTTTCCTTCCTAGTAACCCAGTAAATGCAGAGGAAGGCCCTGATTGGCCCTCCTTTGGTTATGTGTCCACCTCTCAGGCCAATCTCTGGTTTAGAGGAGAGTAGGGTACCATGATTGGCCAGGCCTTTGTCACTCCCCCAACCAATAGGGGTTCTCTGACTTAAAGGCCTCCAGAACCATGTGGAGTCCAGGAAGGGCTGCTCTCCAAAGGAAGGTGTGTACTAATATCAGAAAAAGAAGGAAGGGATGTGCCAGGCAGGCAAAAACAATACATGCATAATGCAACACTTGCAAAATTAGGCACTTAATTTCAAAGGGTTCCCAGGTGTCCTGAAGCTCAGTAGACCCCAGGTTAGGAACCCTTGGCTTACTCTTTTCATTATACCACACCTCTCTCGTGTTTTTGGTCAGGGAAGACTCACACAGCTCCCAGGGCTTCCTTTATCACAGCCCCAGTCACTGGATTGTCAGCCTGATGACATGTTTGTCTCTTGCATGTGACCATGACCATCCATGGGGGCTCAGGGTGATCTTATTCATTACTATCCCTTCCTTAGTCCAATGCTTGTGAAACAGCAGGCTTGTGAAATAGTAAATGTTTATAAAGATGAATGAGTGTCTTCTGTTCTCTCTCCCAAACATTCAGGGCCTAAAAACCCAGGGTGAACTGTGTATATCCCAGAGATCACTGCAGGAGTCATGAGGTGCCCTGTGTGTCACCAGCTTGACCCAGGCCCCTGGCCACTTACTCTGTTGTTGCCTGCGGTGATCCTGTACCATCCATGAGGAGGAAAATTAGCTCTTTGAAGAGAAAGTGGTTCCTTATTTCAAGCACTGGCTTCTCACTGCAGGAGGTGGGCAATGGATGAGACTGTTTGGTCCAGGTGATCAGAACTGAGGCCAGTTTTGTGACAGTGTTGTGATTCGGCACAGCATGCCCCCTCCTTCCAGGACAAGGGAGGGCAGGGATCACCGGGACCGCCATCGGGCTCCCAGTGAGGAGGAGGCCCCGGAGAAATGGGACTGGAATTGTCCAGAGACCCGGCGTCTCTTTGAGAATGCCTTCTTCCGTGATGAGGATTACATCCGCCAGGGTTCAGAGGAGTGCCAGAAGTTCTGGACTTTCTTTGAACGTTTACAGAGATTCCAGAATCACAAGACCACCAGGAAGGAGGAGAAAGACCCTGGACATCCCAAGCCCAGCATCCCAGCACTGGCCGATCTCCCTCGAACTTATGATGCGCGTTACCGCATTAACCTCTCTGTCCTTGGCCCTGACACTCGGGGCTCTCGGGCTCCGGGCAGGCACCTGCCACCGGAGAGAGTGTCTGAGTTCCGCCGAGCCCTGTTGCACTACCTGGACTTCGGCCAGAAGCAGGCCTTTGGGCGGCTGGCCAAACTGCAGCGTGAGCGGGCAGCGCTTCCCATCGCCCAGTATGGGCACCGCATCCTGAAGACGCTGAAGGAGCACCAGGTGGTGGTGGTGGCAGGTGACACGGGCTGCGGCAAGTCCACCCAGGTGCCCCAGTACCTGCTGGCCACTGGCTTCAGTCATGTGGCATGCACCCAGCCCCGGCGAATTGCCTGCATCTCACTGGCCAAGCGTGTTGGCTTTGAGAGCCTCAGTCAGTATGGCTCACAGGTGAGTGGGGGCTAACAGGATTCCGGCTTTTCTCATGTGACCTTGAGGAATAAGCTGCTTGCCCTTGGCGGTATCCATAAGTTACAAAAGCTCTTCTTACCCTTTGACCCAGTGGTGATGCTTCTAGAAATGTATCTACTGATTGGCTTCGATACGGTCCAAAGGTAAAGGCACTGACATTACCCAGTAAGGCATAGCTTGTTTTATTGCTCTTCACAGATGTTGCCATTTTTTGCAAATTGAAGGCAAGACCCTGCACCAGCAAAAAAGATTACAGTTCGCTTTATTGCAATACTTGCTGTGATCTGGAACCGAACCTGCGATATCTCCAAGGTCTGCCTGTATAGCACTAAACAGTAAAAAAATTGGAAAAGTCCTAAAATTCATCAAAAAAATTTTTTTTTCTAGGCAGCCATAAAAAAAGAATGAGGGGGCTGGCCAAGTGGCTCAGTTGGTTAAGAGCTCACTCAAGAGTTTGAGCTCTGAGCAACAGCGGTTCGAGTCCAGCCCGAGCTGAGCAGCGACTGAGCTGCCAACAGGTAGCAGGATGGCTCAGCTAAAAAAAAAAAAAAAAAAGAATGAGGACACTTTCTTACTAATGCTTCCTAGGGCTCTCCTATTTAAAAAATTGTTATTTAAGTTAAAATACTCTCAACACAGAAGAAGGCACATATCATAAATACAGTGAGTGCCAAAAAAAAGTATATGAAAGGAAAATTGTATTAAAATTGTGACACTCAGTGTATACCAATAACAAAAGATGAATACAAGTCACGTTTGACTTCTGCAATTACCGGAGGTGCTCAAAGTGGTTACCTTCAGCGTCCAGACACTTCTGATTACGGTGAACTACTGCTTGAGCGACGTTGACCAAAGTGTCCACTTGTATACATTTTTTTGGCACCTCTGGCATAAAGCTCTGTGAATTTTCATAAGTTGAATATATTTGGGTAACTATCACTCAGACTAAAAAAAAAATCAACCTTACCAGCACCCCAGAAATCCTCTTATTTACCCTTCTGGTTACTACCTTGAGGCCCCCAGGGTCATCACGATTCTTAGTGATAAATTACCATTTTTGTGCTAGATTATCACACCTGAGTTAATGATAGACTATCATAGATGATTTTTGCCTCTTTATCCCTTTATAAATGGAATCAAAAAGTCTGTTCTCTTTTGGGCCTGGCCTCTGTTGTTCAGTATTAGTCTTGTGAGATTTACCTACAGTATAGCATATAGGTGTGTGCTGTGTGTTCACAGTGCTGTACGGTATTCCTTTGTGACGGGACCACATGTATTTGCCCCTTCTACTGTTGGTGGGAATTTGGGGGATTTCCGGTTTTAGGCTCTTGTGAACGGTACTGCTCTAAACATTCTATAACATGCCTTTCTGTGTCTTTTGGTACATATTTTTGTTGGGTATATATCTGGGAGCGGGATAGCTGGGTTATCAGATCTGCATATATGTTTAGCTTTAGTAGACACTGCCAAACCATTTTGCAAAGCTGTTGTACCAATTTACACTCCTACCAGTGGCATGTTCCACGTTATCACCAGCACTTGCCATCGTTAATCTTTTTCATTTTAGCTTTTCCAGTGGTATGTAGTGGTATCACATTTTAATTTCCCTGATGACTAAGGACGTTGAGCACCTTTTCACGTATTTATTGGCCATTTGGAGATCCTCTTTTTGAAATGCCTGCTCGTGCCTTTTTTCCATTTGTCTTTGGCGTTGTCTGTCTTTGTTCTTGATTTATAGGTCTTTATGGATTCTGGATAAAAGTCCTTTGTAGGACTTATGTATTGCAAATCTTGTCTCCTACTTTGTGAATTACCTTTCATTTTCTGAATGGTGCCATTTATTTATTTATTTATTTATTTAACTGAGCCATCCTGCCACCTGTTGGCAGCTCAGCGGCAGCTCAGTGGCAGCTCAGCTCAGGCCGGGAATCGAACTGGCGATGCTGTTGCTCAGGGCTTGCACTCTTGCGCGAGCTCTTAACCAACTGAGCCACTTAGCCGGCCTTGAATGGTGTCTTTTGATGACGGTGTGTTTTCATTGAAATATAATCCAGTCTGTGATTTTCCTTTTATGCTTGGCACACTGGGTTCTGTTTAAGAAGCCTTTGCCCACTTTAAAGTCAGATGTTCTGTGTATTTTTCTAATAACTTTTACATTTTGAACTATAATTCCTCTGAAATCGTGTGTGTGTGTGTGTGTGTGTGTGTGTGTGTGTGTGTGTG